CGGCTGACCCTTTGCCCTGCTGGCCTGTACTCTTACCTAAAGACACGTTATAAATAACGCTCTCGTCACTTCAGATTAGAGCGTCTGACTGACTGCCTGGCACCCGCTCTGACCTGCCTCGCAATCCCCTGGCATCAGAGCACCAGCGGTCACACACTCACGCACTCCATCTCTCACTCGCTCTCCCTCCCACACACACAAACATACACACACCCTTCACTCTTTAAGATCCACATAGAGCCACAATAGTCATAAGGAAATAATTTCAGATATGTGAAAAAGGAATGAGAATATTGCCCACTACAGCAAAGTCATCATCTGATTTGATGCTCATCTTCCATCCTAAAATAAATAAATAAATGAATGAATGATGTAATTTTAACAACCTAATATAGAGCATTTCTCATGTACATCTACTTTAGCCTTTTAATTAACTGGATTAAATGTGAAGAAAAAAGGACCAGGACTTCATTTTCTGGTGACAATAAAACAACACTAAAAGAAATTTAGCAGACCTCTCCATGCTCTATGTAGAAATACATTATTTTATATTTACCGCTGCAAAGCTGGAAAAGCTTACAGAACACTGTCAAAAATGTCAGTACATAAAAATAATACAGCTGGGAAATGTTGTTGGCATAATGTCTACACTAGCTTGTGGTGTAGACTGTTAGCTAGCTTGCCATGTTAAAACAGCTGATGACAAACTTCTATTAATCAGATATAACCTTGATTAAATGACAAAAATACTGCACCCAGTCTGTTTTAACGATGTGATCTTTAAAAGTGACACATACAAAATGAAATCATTTAAAATGAATAAAATGTACATATTTTCACAAAAAAAACTGTCAAAGCTGTGTGGGACAATTTCTCGTTAGGTTGAATTTGATTTTAGCCAACAATCTGTAAAGCTTTTCCAACCTTGCAACCATGGCTATGGAAGTACTTATTTGTGAGCAAAGCATGGATAGGTCAATTTCTTGTAAATTTCAAAGAGGCAAAAAAAAATTGTCACACATAAAAAAATTACTACTAATTACTAAACATCCCAAAAAATCTCATATTTCTGAAAAAAAAAATGGATTTTGAGAAACACTATGACTACGGATGGCAAGATAATGCCTTTGTTCTAACCAGAACAAACTGAAGAGCTTCTGAAGCACTAGAAAGTTATAAAACCCAGAGTTTCCTGGAATCATGGGAACGCTAGTTAACTGGCACTGGTATATCCTACCTGGAAAAAGTAATTACTGTTTTTCTTCGTGGATGGTGATGATGAAGAGACAGTGACAGTTAGTAATGGAGAGCCATTTCGATCAAAAACTGCAGTTTCCTTGACAGATCTGTTATGTTTCATTTAAAAAGGTTTGAGTTGTCCATTATCATAATTTGCACTGTTATCACATTGTTTTGAAAAGTGCAGGCCTGTTCAGATGCTCTCTCACTGCTCTGTGTGTCATAAGGAGCAGATCAGATAGCACATTAAAATGACAGGGGGACTGTGGCTTTACTACAATTTTACGCTTATCCATGGACATCACAGCTTTGTTTTCAATATGCCAGACAACCAAAAACAAATTTAAATTTGCAATATATTTTTGTTCAAAATACCAAACTTGAGCAGCATTTTTATAAGTGTCAGTGCTTATTAGTATGATTAAGAAAGAGAACGATCTTTTTGGGACCGGATTTCAGTACTGTCACACTGATCAGTGTCCTCCTACACACACATCTACAGATTAGCACATTCCTAACAATCTCCTCCTTAAGCATCTGCACAGGGCCATGTTGCCACCAGGGGGCAGCCTGCAAAACAGTTATCAAAAAAGATTAGCCTTTCCCAACTGCAGTCCAGTTGTCCACTCAGTTTAGTGTTTTCTTGTGCTAACACAACTAATTCAGATCAAAAAGGCTTCAGTGCCAGCTAATGACATGATTTAGGTGCAGCGACAGCACAATACTGGGGGAAAAAAAACAAAACAAAAAAATCTATCAGGAGCAGAGAAGAGAAAGTGAAACAAAGAACAATTTAAGCTACAAGATAAACATAAATAACAGTAAATAAAGGAATATTCATCTGGAAGTGTAAAATTGTAGCTAGCTTAGATAATTTGAATCTACAGGAACCATTTACATTATTATATTATATTATTATAGAACACATAGTGAGCTAGTGATCTGTGTAATAAACACAAATGTTACCTAGGTTGTTGTTTTCTTGACATTAGCTTGTAATAGTACAGTAGTTTCCAATAGCTAGCTACTTTACAAAATTAAAAGGCAAAGCATTTATTTTAGCTCCTTTAATGAAAATTAGCTTCTTTAATTAAAAACAAAATGTATTCAAAAGTTTGCTAATGTTACTGAATGTTCATAATGACATGATGGTGTGTTTTAGTAAACTAGCTCAACCTGAGAGACAACAGCATAAAAAGAAGAACTAGCTATCCTAAACTTAGCATAGTGGATCCATATGTGAATATTACTATTACTGATGAAAGCATTTCCTGATAATGCAGTTACACTGAAACATTAGAATATATATGATGCAAAAGGATATATGTCTAAAATCTCTTAAAGTGGGTGTACTTCCCAAAATGTTATTAATTTTACATTTAATTTTGCGTTTTTCATATACTATTTACATATACTATAATTTTTGTTGTTATAACAATTTTGTCAACAAAAACAAACCCAGGAAGCTGCTGTTACTTGTGTGTGTGTGTGTGTGTGTGTGTGTGTGTGTGTGTGTGTGTGTGTTATTTATTTATTTGTTAACACTCTGGCCAACTCTCTGGGTTTTCACAGTTCTTAGAAACAAATAGGTATTAATAGCTACTTACTACTTACTGCTGCTGTCTAAGACTGCGGGAGAGCCCACTCCATCTAATAGAATAATCCAGAAGCTTAATAGACTACCTGCTCTCAGAAGAGATTACTGTGCTGCTATTTACAGGCTGCCTTTTTTAGCATTCCTCTTTGAACTTATGACCCTCTCAAAACCAAACTGAAATTGCACTTGATTTTATCATTTATTTGTTGCATTTATAGTAATGTAAGTAAACAATAAAGCCTTGCGGCCTCTCACACAACCATCTCCAGTGCTAACCAAATCTGACTGGCAATAGAGGGAGTCCAAGGACTAATTTGCTGGTTATTAAGCAAGATGGATAATCACTGATGAGTCACCAACAAGCTATTCATCCAGCAAGCCTTGCTACAGGGAGTGTGTCAGTCAAGACCACTGACATGTCCTGAGACCTTACCCAACTGAAACCACACTAAAGTACAACATTCAAATGCCTGGACATTCTTATAACATATCCTCTTTAAGGTCAGTTTGCATGGCTTCTGCAGTCTGCAGCCTATATGACTGAGCCCAGCGTATGTTTTTGAGACGACAGGGTGTGTGTTTATATTGTGTCTGCCGGAAACAGGGTCAGAGCTATAACCGAGCATGAGCGTGCTTTTAAAAGCATGCCTAATCACCTTCATTACCTGGGTTAAGGCTGTGTCTGGACAGGCTCTGAAAATAACTGCTGCACTACTAGACTAGGAGTGCTCGTGTCAAACCCCTTAATTTGCCCTTACGTAAGCCTGAACTGGGACACTTGTGCTAAAGATATGGGAGCCATCCTGTGGTTGAGCAGCACAGTATCTTGTCACAGTGAAGGGATAATGGAGCTCAGACACCTGTAGACACACCTCAGCAGCGCTTGCTTAAATGAGGCGGCCTTACACCAGGTCCAAGTGACTAGGCCTGGGGAAACTGAGGCTCTATTGAGCACTTATGGGCTTGTTTTTATGCTCTGCCCTTCTTTCCACAGCCCACAAAGTGGTGAGCCGCAGTGCTGTGGTCATGGTGGGGTCTTCAATGTGCATTTGTCTCCCATCAGTGGACATTTTCAGAACAGTCTAACCAACAATACTGACATTGAGTAAAAAGAGACAGTGTGTAAGTCTGGCCTTGTATCACCGTCTCTTACTCAGTAACGGAATAGCTAAATATGTCTACACGTAACAACCCAAAACAGTGCCCTGACAGCAGAACCCTTCAAGCTTTCCACCAAACGCTCATTTTCAGAAATCCTAAATGCTGAACAGACAGAACCTCATCAGCATGACTGAGCTGCAAGACAGAGCAAGTCCATATGTGTGTGATCCTGGCCCACCCTAAGGATAAAGCACAAGAGTGTGGACCAGACATGTGGAATACTCAGGTGTTCTAGTGAGTGAGTTCTTAATGTAAAGATGAGATCAGGAACTTCAGTTTATGTGATAATTCGTAATAAGTGAAAGAAACACTGCAACATCATATCAAGTACAATTTTATAAAAAGTAACCAAGAACAGGCAAAGCACTTATAAAAACCCTAAGGAAGTGGACTATAGGGATGGCAGTTTGATGTACTTCAACAGGTGGAGAACATTTGCTTTACAATTAAGAAAATGAGCAGTAATCTATAGTGATGTCTGCAAACAGGGGGCTGATCTACAAGGGATTTGAACAATCAGTCAGCTGAGTTTTAGTTGTGGAATTAGATCTGTAGAAAAGACTGGTCCACTGCAGCACCTCTAAACAGCCTGAAAACTACTCATTCGTGCTTAGTTTAAGCTTACTCTAGCCAGTCTCAAACACACTGACAATCTACTGTTTAAACTCTCCCTGAATCATTTGTGTACACTGTCTTTATAAAACCCATTTCACTTTTTTAGTTTTGGCAAATAATGTGGACACATCCCATTTCTAAACTTCCCTCAGCGTATTATCATGCGTGAGGCGTCAATATAAGATATGATCCTGTCAGTGGACTCTAATGGGCTGCAATGATGGCTATCAAATGCAGCACCATCATATATGATGGCCATGCAGGACAAATCCAAACCCAAGCCTTCAGCATAAGAATAGATGCGGATTGCATTGGAAAACCAGTTAATGCGCTAATAATCCAAGTCTTCCAAAGACTAAAGTGAAGCATGTGTGCACGTGCGCGCTACCTTCCAGCCGGCCGAGCTGTTGCTGTCTCCTTTATCCTTGAAATAAGGGACGTAGCGGACCATCCAGTCGTAGATCTGAGACAGGGTGAGTCTTTTTTCGGGCGTGCTCTCGATGGCGCGTGTGATCAGGTCCGCGTACGACAGGTTACCCCACGCGTTGCGCCGGGACGACTTGGCTTTGCGCAGCTGTCCGGCCACGTCCAGTCCGGGCGCACAGGGCAGCGCTTCGCGGCACGAAGACGCGCTGTCCGGCTCCGCCTTGACCAGCAGCTCCGCTCCTTCGGGGAAGGCATCTGGACGGGGCAGCGGCCATGTGCAGGAGCGAGGCCGGCTCTGGGGCTCCAGGTCCGGGTCAGCGTCAACCTGATGCGCCTCCAGCTCGTCGTCCTCCATCATCATCATCTGCGCTTCAAGAAGAAAGGGGCGTGCTGGGCGAGAAGTCGGCGTGATTCCGGGAGGTGATGGTGGAGGTGCTCTCAGAAGAAAAAAAAAGCCTTACCTGACCGAGCAATGTGTGCTTTTAAGCAGGAGGAGTGCAGCAGATCATGCTGAACACGCAGAGCTGAGGGTCTTCACAATCCAACGTGGAAAAACGATCGCTGCCTCCAATGACAATGTTGGACAATCCATTTCTGCTCAGATCAAACGCGCTTTAGGAACCGTTAAAGACATCTCCCAAGCATGCTGGGTCCAAATGAAGCGGGCTTTTGACTGATCGCGCTTTTGATGAAGCCGGCTGCAGCAACAGATGATATCTCAACCACCCAGCATGCCGTGCACTGCCTGCGCTCGGAAAACTCCCATCTTTGCAATGGAAAACGGCAAAAGTGGTGAAAAAAACTCCTCACTGAAGCGTGTTATACGTCCATGAAAACGGCGCGAAATCCCTCTTTAGAAGAAAAAGAAGCTTGAAGTCTGGAGAGCAGAGCACACAGTCACTCGGTCATTACCAGCCTGCTGATTTATGGTGACAGCTTCAGCAGCTGGAGTCAATAGAAATCCGCCCCAAACGCGTCCTTCACACCTTTCTCACAGTCTATAGTGTATTTGATCCATCTCCACCTGCAGCATGCCCGGCTCCTCTCTCTCTCTCGCTGAGCTCCTTTTTCATGCTCCGCTACGCTCGGCCCTCTCGCCGGTTGTAACGTGATGACGCGGGCTGGAGAAACGCAGCTCGCACGTGATTGGTCCGAGACGAGAAAGGGATTCACTTCAGCTCGAGCTCAATGAGGGCATGCTGAGGCTCTTCTGCGATGGAGAACCTCGACCCAGCCGCTTTCGCTCTCAATAACGGAGCTCTTTCCACCGGTGCTGCTCGCCTGGGTGTGAGAAATGAGCACTGGATGGAAACCAGGCGTTTAACAGTGATTTCGGTCATGATCCTCATGACTGTGCACTAGAAGAGCACTTGTGTCTCCTGTGCGAGGACTTCAGAGTAAGCTATTCCAGTCTCGAGACTGAGCGAAGCGCCCAAAGCTTTAGAACCATCAAGTTCTGGGTAACAGTACCTTTCTGATGCCCTTTAGTATACACTGTCTCCAAAAGTATCCAGACACCCCTTCTAATTAGTCAATTCAGCTACTGAAATGTGCAGCCATTACACATGCGCACAGATAGCCTGTCTCCATAGAAAAGCATTGCCAATAGAGTGAGACACTTTGGAGCAGCTGCACATGAGGACATCATGGCCAGTAACCAAAAGGGTATAAAGCCACCAGCACTGAGCTGTGAAGCAGTGAGGCTGCGTTCTCTGGAGTGATGGAGCTACAATACATTTGGGTTGAGTTGGAGTGGCGTTTGTGATCCAGAACTGACCATCCAACAATCAGTACCTAACCTTACTAACCTTCTTGTGGCTGAATGCAACCGAATCCTCACAACAATGCCTCAGTGTTGTGTAAAGCCTTCCCAGAAGAGAAGTTCTGCAACAAAGAGGGAACAAACTCCTCACTAATACCGTTTATTTCAGAAGAAATGTTGGATACAGCGTATCAGTCTTCTTCGCCTTTCTGCAAGAGCTCAGCTCTCCACAGTGTCCTAAAATATGATGAATTATTCCACTCTAAGTTTTGAGATGTTCAGGATGACGCAATTCAGCGACCCGTCCCTAATGAAACAAAGGACCTTATTAAACATCAGTAACTGCTGATACACCGTGTGCTGAAAGCATGGTTCCTGTGGAGGGTCTCACAGCGCTTTACAGCGGGGAATCCGCATGCGTTTTGCGCCATGGCGCCTCCTCTGGATGAACCGAGACAACGCTGTCAGAGCTGTACAGCTGTACACACTGAAACAGGTTTCCTTTCAAGGGGCAAACAAACCGTGACACACCATTTCACTCTCCATTCTTGCGTGTTCAGAGTGCGCTCGACAAGCCCAGCGTGCTCTGAGTGTTCAGGTACAGAGACTGTAATTTCACTGTTGTCGATGACTGCTAGGCAACTCGCTGTTCACGCACGCTACTAACTTCTCAATGGTGAAAGTTCTCTTGACAACTGACAGGCCGAACAGCTTTTTTATCCTTCATATACAACAAAAAGTAGGGGTATTTGACTAACCCAAGCAAATGAACAAAACTACTGGTTATACATTTTACTTCAAGGACACCCCAGCTAAAATAATAAAAAAATCTGTTGTAAATATGCTTACTTGCTTCCTGCTGAGGTAAACTCTAGTTTTAGGCTGGAATGCCCCTTTAAATGCTTCAAGAATTTTATTTGATTTTATTTAACTTGCTGCAATGTTAGCCATTCTCTAGCCCATTCATCATTGGCCAGTTTCTGACCAAAGGACACTGTTGAGACATTATTTGGGTGGTAGACCATTCTTAATACAGCAATCACAAAGAAAAGTTGTGGGCTTCACTGCTAGGTTGAGAGTGGTTCATCACACACAAATATCCAGCCAAGAGTGGCTCTGTGTTTAGAAACTGACCACTGATGATGCCCTCTAGAGAAGTAGCAATTTCAGTCTGTCAGGCAATTTTGCAATCATATGCCAAAGTTAATTAAAATTATTATTTAGATTGATCTGGAAATACAGGTATTTGACAGGATACCAAATGCTATGGTACAATGAACAGAATGCCATTAATGCTCCTGATGAAGTACAGCTGAACACACTGACATTTAGTGTCAATATAATATTATCATTAGGACAGAAAAAAAACTGCAGCATTCAGTCATAGTCAAGACAAGTGACACCAGTGAAGAGCTTGAGTCATTCCTGTTTCCTTCAGTACATTTTCTCATTGTAAAGTTGTAAGCAAACCATTGCTAATAGTAGCTCACCCATGTTGGCTACCTGGCTAATGTTAAATTACAAACAAGCAATTAGCCAGGTTTGCACAAAAATAAAAAAGTTCTGAAAGCCTTTTGAACCACTTTATTACCAATTTACTTATGTTTATTAATCTTTATTAATCTTTCAGAAAACAAAGGAATTCCATAAAATGTAAACTTCAACATTGCAAAATGAAGTCACCCCAACCCCTTCACAATGTGCTAGCTCACGTTCACTGACTGCAGTTCGCTAAAACTGTCTGAGCGCCCCACTGATGACCGTTCCATTTGGCACCTCAGCTCAACACAGCTCTGACCGTTTGCACAGAGCACTGTGGGCATGAATGCCCAGTGGGTGCATTTAGTGTCTCCCCTACATTTCACCTGTGTCTCCACTGCAAAAACATTTTGTGCTGGGAGAAAACTAGCCTTTTATTTACAAACCTTAATATTCAATCTTTTTTCAGACATGATTCTATTTTAAATTATGCCTTTCACTGAGATACAATGAAAGATTCCTTCATGGGATGTCTTTTGAGGATAAGGCTGACGAAAGGCACAATGCACTTAGACATTCCAGGAGTGACATAAGTTACCACAATCCAAATCCACAAAACACGTCCATATACAAGCATGAATTCTTTCCCCTGTCTCCACCCAGCACACCCACTAGTTGGGCACACTCAGATGTTACACAATACACCCACTTGAACTTCAACATGTGTGGTGCCATTTATTGTAGAATTACAATTGTGTTATTGCAGAAGCTAAACATAGTGCACATATGAGGTGTTCTGATGAGTCATGTGCAACAAACCTGGTATTTCACAAACAGTCTCCTGGTATTTAGGTACCAAGATTCTGCACACCACAGTCTACACGGGACATCTTCGGGCATCTCCAAAAACGCAAACCAAAGGGCTTCAGTGCTGCTGATCAGAAATGGTTAAGGGACATGCAGAACAGCTATTAACACAAGGAAATCAAAGGCTCATTAGAACCAGGGAGAAGAGTCCAACAATCCGAAATGGAGTTCTGAGTTGGAATGCTCTTTAGAAACAAAATACAAAAAAAAAAAAGACATACAAACTGAAAGACTCTCTGCCAAAGCCAAGAGGACTAGGGGTGAGAAGGTGGGCATGGCGCAACCTCAGCGGAGGTTGTGGCAAGTGTGTGTGAGCATCTGAGCAGCACTAGGCAGGGTGCTTCACACACTCCATACCAGACATTCCAGAGGCAGGAGGGTTGGCTATGGGTGCTGATCCCAGAACAGTGTGTCAAACTCAACGGACCACTACAGCCACTAACTCACCAGCGAGAGGAGGGCAATTCTAGTTTGTGCTCAGAGAGACAAAAATGGACTGTGGAATTTCATTGAAGCCTGATTATTAAGACTTCTCACACAAAACCAATAAACTGCATCAACTTTTAATTAGACCTACCTACAGCATATACAATGTTATATAAAGCTTCTCTATACAGAGCTGTCAGTTCATGAGGTTCCCCTACCACTCTATCAGGTGCATCCACATATATATTTGTAAGTATGCAGTTATTGACTGTAGCTTGTCTGCTATCTGCTATGTCAATCATATTCAAGGCACATATATGGTATATGTACCTGATAAAATGTCTAATAAGTGTAATTACAAGGTAGAGGTACCTAACCAAAAGGCAAATAATTGTATACTTTCACTCTAGCGATGGGACCAACAACCCCAGAAAGATCAACATCATCTTAAGTCTTAATAAGGTCCATCCTGAGTGGTAAAGGTCAATGACAAAGGCACTGTGTCAGATATCAGGAATGTTCCAGAGAGTAGGTGAGACCCGATTTAACCTTTTTGTGGCATTGGCCCAGATTGGCCTGTCTTTAATACATCCTGCCTCTGGCAACAGTCATCTTATCATGCCAAAGATCTTGGCACTGATTTCTCCCGAAAATGCACAGAATGTTCAGAGATGCAAGGCTGTCAGAGGTAGGCTCGAGGGCCTCAATTAAGACAGGGCTATGAGTTTAAAAACAGCTAAGCGTGCAGGTAACAGCTCTCTTTCACACACAGAAGACACTGAAAGAGTTTTAACTAATGTGATCTGTCACATACCTCTAATCCTGTTCACAAATGAAACACTAGCACAAGGATAAAGCCCCAAGAGAGAGAGGAATACAGAGTGACACTATTTTCTGTCTAGTGGTGCAAGAGAGTCAAGGATTACTTTTGAGAGTCCAGCTATAAGATTAATTTTCAATCTGACATTAGAATAAAGGACAAATATACGGCATTAGGAAACATGCTCTCCAGAGGCATCCGTCCAACTAAGCCTGAGCCTTGTCATAGCGGCAGTCAGGACAACTTAATACGTGTTCCATGTGCAGTACACTTCAAATTAAAGTGATAAGGTCACAGAGGCATAGAGGGAAAAATGGACTAGCCCACTGACATAAAATTCACTATTAAAGGAAGAAAGAATGCAGTATTATCTTTCAGTTAAAGGCAACAGGTATTACATCTGGAACTAGGTTTTAAAGAGAAAGATGGTATGTTTGTAGATATATAGCTCTTATGTCCAAGGAACGTTGTGATTGAGCATGTTTCCACCGTAAAAAGGAATAAATGAAAAAAAAAAGGATGGAAGGAAGGAATGATGAAGGGAAGAATGAAAAAGAATAGAAGGAAGAACACTTTAAAACCCCTGCACCTTTAAAATTAGGGAAAAAAAAATATCTGAATAATCCAAGACAGAGTATTTATATCTTTGCCTTTTTTTGGTCAGTTCTAATGACCAACACATTTAATTTAGAAATTAGCTATAACTGTGCATCAACAAGGCAGATCAAAACTTGTAACTTTCATTTGCCCTAAAAGGAAATAAAACTGTCATCTTATGGTCATTCATATGACAATTTTATAGGAGAGTACCAAGCAGCAAAACACTAGAAAACCAGCAGAAAGCCCCCTTAAAATTATCAAAAAACTGTAGAATACATGGCTCTTATAGCATTTAAACATGCTTTATGTAGAAAAGCTTCACAAACACAGTATTTTCATTCTCATGATGGGGAGGCAATACCAACATCCAACTACTTCATCTGAGGCAAACATGAACACTCCAGTAATTTCTATCTCCATTCAAATGACTGTGTATGTCCTAAAACAAAAATTAATGGTAAATTCTCTCATACATTTTAAATAGTGAGATCGCAGTTGGAGCACTGGAAGAGTAATGGCCTCATCTCTAGCTGCCATCTCTGGTGTCATCTCTCATGAGTTAATAGTGGAGATGAGAGCGGATAGGGGAAAAAAAATATCTGCACTTTTCTGACAGGGAAGAAAGGAGAGCTTTCACAGGTCCATGTATCATTAAGCAATTGAGAAAGCTAATTAGAGCTAGTGGTGGTGGGGGTGAGGGGGTGGAGATCTCGCACCTAATTATTGCCATAGCAACTGCATCTCTCATATGAGGTCTGCAAAAGAATGCCACCCTGTACTGGAGCAGACAAACCTTGAAACAGAGTAAGAGAGCCACCTAGTGCAACAAACCTGTAATACAGAAGTGGCATAATGCTTATAAACAAAACTGTGGCAATCTAAATGCCTCCAGACAATTATAACTAAACAGAAAGCATAATTACATTTCACAGAATCACCTACTGAATTGATGCATAGGTAACTGAGGTAAGAACCATTTATTTAGAAAATAAGCATGTTTCCAAATACTCTTACATCCTCTTGTAACAACTGCCAAGACAAAATGGCAAGATTATATCAGCCCCAGTTTACTGTTCATGTACAGAAAGTGAACTGTTATCAAACGTGTGTTCCAGTTTGGCAAAGATGTGTAAATTATTACATTACAAAAGAAATATTAAGTGCAATATAATCCACTCCACTATTACAGCATGACATTTTCCAGTGATCTCATTTCTTTATTCCCAATGATTCCGAGCGTCCAGGTTGAGGAGGTGGATCTATTACTACGACTCGCTATCAAAGATATGAAGACATCATTAGGTTTGGCAATTTGGGATTTATCCATATGCAAACTGCAACAGGTCTGTATACTGTCTAGCACTGATTAAATCTGGTTTAGGTAGATTCAGTCAGGATGGCTCATAGCACCTACATGAGCCTTTTGGGGTCAATCTTCTCCAGGTGTACAAGGGGCTTGAGCTGCTCTGCAAAGCTGCGCATGTCCTCAGACACTGTGTCCTGTCCTGCTGGCGCTAACACACTAAGTTCCACTAAGTAGGATAGAGACAGCGGTTCAGTGTTGTCTGTGTTGCCAGGCACAAGCACCCGGGACAGTTTACTCACAACCACTTTGAGCGCACCTTTGCGGAAAATATGCCCTTTGGCCACAAACTCATGGTCCATTCGAAAGCCCATTTCGTTGAGGAAGTCTGGCAGGCTGTGAGACGCAGCAACATCCACACAGTTCCGTACCAGTGCATGGCGACTCTTGTCTCCCACCTCCGGCTGGCCAAGGTAACGCAGGTGCCAGGGCGCGGTGGGGTGAGCAAGAGAACGCCTGGCTCGGAAGATGAACGGGTTTCCCTGCTGACCTTTGAGAAGGTAGACTAGTTCATGGTCAGCAAAGCTCTCCGGTTCCATGTTGTCACACAGACCTCTTAGACGATGGAGGAGACTGTCCAAGGACTGGTCCAGTACACTGCCTGTAGCAAGAAGTGCAGAGTATTACTGTTTCTAAACACATAACACAGTAATTAGGTTCTCTTATATATTTCCATGCAGATTAACAGATAAATAATTTACCTTGCAGCAAATACTCCATCATGTTTATCGTGCCCCCCGTAACGGGCATGACGGTGACTGGTGGAGCTTCCATTGCTCTCCAGTGGAAAAACAATACTGTAACTTACAAAAACTGTGTGAAAAGTGAAACACAACAGTAAACGAGAGAATAACGTTGCTCTAAAGTAGGCCTTAGCTACCACAGGGTGTCTGTAGTTTAACTCAGCTAGCCTGATAATGACGACTATAGTAAGCTGGTTAATATTATTCTACAAAACTAAAATGCTCATCTTTGTGTTCCAGAGATTTAAAACAGTCGTTGTTTTGTGTCTGTATGGACCAGTCTGCACCACAGAGGCTGAAAACTTCAACACCGTGTTTATGGATGACAAGGCCGCACCGAGACTCTCACTTAGTTTCCAACAAGTAAATATATAAAACAAGTGAGCGACTAACTGTTACATGGCAACACTACAAAACGCCACGCTGAGTATATAACAAAGAGAGGGATGAGTGTGTAGAAGTCCATAAACTTGCAGTTACTTCGCTAACTCACCGACTCTACACGGCTTTTCCGCTCCTCAGTCGGCTAAGCTGCTAGCTTTTTCATTCAGCAGCCGCGGCTACTACGCATGCTCAGTCGGCGTCCGGGTTGCCAGGCCCTTTGAAATTCAACTCGAACAATGTTCTGTTGCTGTGTTTTATTCCAGCTGCTCCGATTTCATTGAATAGACGTTTTACTGAAACCTTAGTAAAACCACACCAAGTTTTTTCATGGTGAAGCTGGCAAGTGGAGTGCAGATGTAGCCAGAAAGAGGAGACATAGGTTGGCATTCGAATTAATAAATTATCATTAAATTAGCAAACTAACACAGACTCTTCTGAGACTCTCCCTCTCTTTTGAAATCTCTTTCTCTTTAATTAATTACGTTAAAATGTGGATGAATGTGTGCTTTTAGATAGGATTGTGCTCTGGCCGCACATTCAGAACTCATGAGAGATGAATGATGATTGAGAAGTTCTAACATACAGATGGCGCTAAGTGTTCATTCTCTACCAACTTGCCCTGAACACACAGCAGCTTTTTTCTGACGGGCAAGTATAGCGGGGCGGGGTGTTGTCTGATTTAGTTCAGACCAATTAAAACACGCCTTAGGAGGAGTTGGATCAGATCCAGCCGTACCCCCTGGACTTTTGGTTCTGCAGCAACGACAATCTCGGTTTTTGAGGAACAGTCTTGTCAACAAGCAGGGCGGGCTTAGTGATTCTGGGGCTCTTGGTAAAAGACGGGAATGGGACCCCCTGCATGCACATTTTAAATTAGTTGCTGTCTACACTACAAAAAAAAATATATCTTAGTACTTGAAATCATCTTGAATCTTGCAGATACATAATGTTGAGATTGATGCAAGAACATTATAAAAGATTAGCTTATTTCTAGACATTTTTACTCAAGTAATTTTATTAAGTGAAATTATCTCACTGCATTGAGGGACCATATTGCTTGTTTAAATATGCTTAAAACAAGTAAAATGATCTGCCAATAGAGTGACATAATTTTGGCACAGAGTAACACAGATGTAAACTAATGTATAATGAAATCACTTTTTCTTTTTTCAGCAAGTAATAACATAATCCCATTCTGTTTTAAGACAAGTAATTAGTAACTTGTAATTATCCCAGCACTGCAGCTGTCTTTACTAACATTAAGACCAGCATTATGTACAGTCTGCTGAGCCTGTGCAGCGCTCTGCTCTGACTGAAAAAACTAAGTTAGCGCTTCGAGTGCAGCAACAAACCTTTTGCTCTTAATACCCAAAAGAATCACACCAAAGAAGCTCTTCTCCATCATAGACCCTGTTTACATCGGGTCACTTCATGACTAGTAACTGGATTCAGGTTCTGATAGCCACACATGTTTACACTTGGTAGTCAAATGAATGTTTTAAATGCGTCTTGGGTGCGTCTACACTTGCATTTTTATGTGGCTTGGCCTTATCCAAATATAATCCTGACACTTAAGACACATGAAGTACCACATACCAGTCTGTCTTTACGCAATTGCATCAACAACATGCAATAGTCCATTATAACCAAGGGGCTAGGATACATTGAACTTACTGAAAAGAATCACTACAATCAAAAATAACAGCTTTTTTCTGAACATATATTGTGGTGCCAGCAAATAAAATGGCACAGGAAACACACAAAATTAATCAAAAAGCAAATTGCTCCTCAGCACTACCTGAAATGATCAAGATAGCAAGCAGGTCACTTTTACCCATGCACCCCACATTCATGGCAGATACACAGACCACACCAACTACCCAAACCGAGCACAGACCAAAACAACATAGCTGCACTAGTAACATCCACAACAACAATTTATGTATAGTTTAAAGTCTCTCTTACAGTGAATCCTGCGCTCCAGCGGTGCTTTGTGCATCATCGCTATGCAAGAGCCACGTCTCTGTGCATCCACAGTCGAACAAGCCAGTAGCAGAAATATATATTGCAGCATTCACCACCATTAAAAGATATACAGTTTTGGCACACGTCATGGTGCTTTATTATCCAGCTGTTGTTGGCCACAGCTACGCCGTACATAAGCAGAGTTTTCTTTTTTCTAACATCTCATTTGGTACCAAGCTCATGTCTTCTCCTCTCTTTCAGCTCATGCTCATGCACACAACCCCCTGCCCTTCACAATAACAGTTCTAACAGCAAAATAACCCATTGAATAGACCACTGTAGTCATGTCATCATTTTGTAGTTGATGCCATGCTCTTATGCCGATATAAGGAACTCCAGGTCCAACACAATTCTCTATGAGAAGAATGAATGGAGTTTTTGAAAATTGCCTCTTGCACATCCTGTGATAATCAGAAATGTTCCAAAGCTGATACATTTTGTCCTATGAACATTTTTTTCCTGAATTTCACTGGATCCTTCTGTTCTTCATCTGGTACTCACTGAAACACAATAGATCTTTCTGTTCTGTACATAGCTCTACAAACTCTCCTGCACTCAGGCTAGTTTAATACAGACTGAGTTTAATATTACTGCTGACTCACTAATATGCTTATTTAGGCTATCAGAATATCCCAGTTATTAATTTAATGCTGGTAACATTTTCTGAGGACAGACTGCCTTAGTTTTGTGTAGCTTAGTGACATCAGATTGATGCACAGTAGCTTTAGCTCACATGTAGCAATATTGTTATTAAGACTTATTTAATGACTTCATAATTCAGAGGATCCAGTGATATTTGGGAGAACGCGAATTACAGAATGTCACATGACCACAGTGGTCTATAAATGCTGAGGAACTAACTTAAAACCAACATACAAAACATTTCTTGAACATGCTACAATATTTCATGATTGATTATTAAACAGTTGCATAGTATATATAACTTTTATTGTAACATCAGCAGAAAAGACAGAGGAGTAGCCATGATCTACTACAAGAAGTACTCCTTATTGAACACAACAGAAAGGCGCACAAACAGAATACCGAACTCACGGGGGAGGTCACCTCTGGCCACGTACTTCACCCCTCACACACACAACCCACAGTCCCCATTACTAAATAACACTAATAACATGTATACACAACATTAAAGTGAAGTTAAACTAACAGACAACAACATAACCAACTTAAATAGTCCTTTTTTAGGAGGACTGGATACCATAAGCCTTTGCTTGTGGTCATCTGCATAGCCATGCCTCCAAAGTCTCAGGCACAGGTGCCAGCCAGTAGCAGAGGGCTACAATATTTTCATGGGCCCCTTGGCTTATGGGGGCCTTATGTGGCAACATTTGCCTAGTGCAAAGTAGCCCTTGTCAAAATAGTCAATGTGTAGTCCTTGTCAATAAACACAGCAATGTTTATTATTTTAAAAATGCACACTGATAAAAAGGCTGATTATAGGATAAGTTAAATAAATTGCCCAAAGGACCTTAAAAATTCTGGCTGAAATCATGACAAATCTTAATTCATAAAGACTTTAAAGACAGTAACAACAATACTAGGGCTACCATGAGTTCAGGTGGTTCTAAATGTTATCACACATCAAAATAATATAGAGGATTGTCTTGTACTGGAAGAAATTTATGTCAAAGAATTATACAAATTACTACTATCAAATCAACCAATGGCTTACCTATAATCCACTAGATATTAACCCATAAAACTGACCAACTAACTGGATATTAACACTGATATAATTTTAGGTTTGAATAATAAACACACACAATATTTCATGCCAAAAGTCCAATTAGCATCATCAAAAGAACATTGTTAGTTTTACTGAATTTTGGAAACTTTCCAATGTAATTTGTGTTATGATGCTTGGCTGAACTTTCTTTTCCATGCCACCTCATGTGACTAATGCGTGGTTATACAGAGCGAGGGTCAAAAACGACAGGGGGGGAAAGTGGCTACATCATCTCAAATGCTTACAATCACACCTTGGCTAACAAATGGATCATAAACATGTCAAAAAACAATACATGGTCCAAAGGGGAAAACACCCAAATCACATAAAGTAGTTATATACGTAAGAGTAAAATGAGTAAGAGGTTTTTGCTTCCATTTTCAACGTCACTGTTGCCAGTAGAAGTGAAATTATCAACACAATGTTCTCATGCATAAAGCCTTGTGCATAGAGCCTCTTTGAAGTGCGCTGCTAAGTGCAAAGTGTGGAACGTGTGAATAATATCAGTCCCCTCCTCACTGTAAAATAACCCATCGTGTGCAGTGTCATGACTGAAGGCGTTGTGATTAATTACATAAGGGTGATATTACTCTCAACATTTATTTATGGATATATATGTAATATGTACACCTATAATCCTGCATAGGCTCGCACCACTTACACAATGGCAGCTATAGAGTAGGTGAAGCTAAAAAAGTGCACATTTTCAGCTTCACCTACTCTATAGCTGCCATTGTGTAAGTGGTGTCAGCCTTTATCGGCCTCTTTGGTGAGTGACCTGATTTTGACCACAGGGCAGAATGCTTTTAACATCTATCAACAAATGCAATACAAACAAAGGATAACTAGTCAGCCAAACTAGTAATTGGGTGCACGTTCCCTTTCTGTGAAAGACTGCTTAATTAGTGAAACTCCAAAGGCAGTGATTTCTAGGTGGATATTGTACATAAGACTTGAGTCTCCAAGCAGCTCAGTGGTAGAACAAAGACTTATGTATTTGATAGGCACAGTGTTTCAGTATCTGTTCTAACCATTACGTACTTTACATTCTCATCACATTTCACATAAATGGGTACACTGCACACTGCAGACATTCTACAACTAAATAATGTCTTTGAAAAAGGACTAGTCAAGCTATTCACCACTAATGCTAGCTAGAAGAACGTATGTATTATTCATTGTTTATGTTCTATAGGCAAACACTGTGGTCCTGATGGTCACTGTCCTACATGCTGTATTTTTGTGTTTTCCTATATTAAACACCTAATTATCAAGCTCTAAGCTGACATGAGGATGTTTGAGCAGGAAAACACTAAAATTTGGAGGACAGAGTTAATTCAGAGCCAGAGTATTAGCCTATAGAACAAATTGACTGCTCCTTTAGGCAAAAGGAGGCTTATTTAAGGGAGGTTTGTATAATACATAAAAAATATATAAGAATCCACACTATAAAATGTATTTATTTATTCATCACTACATAATTCTAAGTGTTATTTTAGTAGTTTTAATGTCACTATTATCCTTAAATGTGGAAAATGATTCAAATGAAAAATAAAAAGGCCGTGCTCACGGTGTGGGTATTGTACACAAGACACATAAAACAAGAAGACGGGTTAAAATATCACCATTTTTTCTTTGCTTTTGCAAAAACAAATTAACAAGCAAATCATGATTAAAGCTATTATGATTTGTCACAGTAGAAGCAGCAGGTTTGAAGCCAGGGCAGTCTATGATATGCTAAATTGGCTTATAACTGGCCTTGAACTTCACACTAGCTGAATACTAGAAAAATGCATGCATGTTCAGTAGCTGAAATTCATGCAGTCTGTTACTGCGCTCAGTTTCAAAAAGTACAACTGAGTGAAACCATCTTCAAACATTACTAAAAGCAAAAAGAAACAATGAAGTGAATCTTAAGTTGCTTAGATCAAACTTAAATATGACCCCAAAAAAGTAGGACTGTCAAACAATTAAAATAATTAACTGTGATTAATGAACTGTGATTCATCACATTTGTCTTATTTGCTCAAATTTGTCTCTAAGGAAAGATTACTATTTAAATAAAAATTGCATTTTATTATAACTATATGTGTGAACAAAATCATTTTCATCAGTGTGTATTTATCACTTTCAATGATTCAACAACATTATTTTCATTGTGTGATCACAGGCCACACATGAGCTTGAAAATCATGTGCATCATTTCCAATTTTCATCACCAACATCCAGTGAGAGCAGCAGTGTCTGCATGTTTCAGCATCCCATGACTGTAGTCCTCTCGTTCTCATATCGCAACAGAGTTGGCTGTTCGCTTGGTTTATCCGTATAGTTCTCCTGTGAGCGTTGTTCAGTGTAGTCTGCTGAAGGCGTCCTCCACTGCTTACATTACTGGTAGTACTGATATTGCATCAGGGATGTGTTTGCTCACGTCAGGCCAGATGACCCGCTGTTCTTATTACACTTTAATTTGGCTGTACACACACTCATTAACAGATGTGATGACACTCTGCTGTTGATATCTGCCAACTTCCAGCATAGAATAAACCACCTGAGTCTCATCTTCATCCTGGAGAGATGGAACAAAAAAAAATGATGTTTTGATTACAGCTAAGAAATTATGAAATGATTATACTTGTCATACTTTTATGTTGTACTTTTGCATACAAAAACCCATTTTTATAACACACTTACCCCTGAGCTCCTGGTCATGGTTTGACCACCTCTGGTAGAGTTTCTGCCTGAAAAAGATTCAGTCATGCAAAATTAAAGATAAACACAAACAAAAACAAACTAATTCATGTTTCAAATGCATTTTTTTTTCGCACCTGTATTCACTTGCCGTCTCAAAACACACAAAATTATGGCAAGAGCTACAATGATGAGAGGAGCTGCAGTGCATGTGCTTATTAATGTAACTGCTTGTGAAGGGTTGCTGCCCACAGTAATGTATGCAGTGGCATCTGAAATGCAGTACAACACAATTTTACATGTCTAGACCAGATTCATTCAAACAGTTAGGAATATTTAGGGTTCTATCAGCATCAGGTATTTTGATTACATTTAGTTGTGCAAATGTCTATAAAGCTTTTAATAGCTTCAACAATATTCACCTGATTGAGTTGTGGCTTCATCAGCAAGATGCAATCTGTCTGTCTCTACGCTGCTACTGTGCAGCCTGCAGATCACAGAACTCTTCGGCTTCTTTATGATCCCAGTAATTGAGATATTCCATTTATCTGACACCACAGTGACTGGATTTCCCTCTGCACCGACATCCACATCACAGTACAGGGTGCAGTTTTGAGGAGAATCAGTCGACTCCACTGCTGTAACTGTGAGTGTGGTTAAAATTATGAATTGCACATGTATTGTATTGAGTCTGATAAATGTTTGTTTATACTGTTACAGTTGGCTTTATAAAGAACCTATAGAATCTGTGTCACAGCTATAAAAACATATTTTACAATTCCATATAGACTGATATTCAGCTGTATGGATAGATTATTACAGAACTGGATCTTCATATACATTTGGGCCACAGAGTCACTTGATTACATCATCTTGTATTTGCCATACACACATCTTATCATCATGCAACATTCTTCTTCTTCTTCTTCTTCTTCTTCTTCTTCTTCATGCATTTTACATGCTTTTGTTATTTTCACCATGGTGGTGTTTTGTGTTCAGGTTTATAAGTTATAAGCCTGGAGCCACAAATGCTATTAGGTGCTAAATAGCAGCCCATGAGCAGCTTCTGATGCATGAAGCCATTTGAGTCCCTAGAAATGGGTGACTTTTGTCTTATCTAAGCTCTTTGTTTGTTACTGTATTAAATAGTCCATTTAAAATAATGAAGAAGTTGTTTCAGCTGATACCAATACACTGCACTGGGGTTGTGTGTTTGATTTAAGTTAACCTAACTACTTAAGTAAAGTCAACTAATTAAAGCTTATAGTGAGTATATAGTGATACGAATCAACTACAAATGGTATAAAGTATTTAATATTTTGTCCAAAGATTATTGGAATGTACTAATTTGATTGAGAGAAGGTGCACTATTACTGTTGTTTATGAATAATATGAAAAACAGCCTTATTGTATCTTGGCCGTAGGCTATACATAAGTAACTTTGAATATTTCAGAAAAGACATTAATTATTTAGTTTATTAAAGTTTATTAACTGTTAAATTGTCTATACAACAACACTGACATATTTCTGTCTGTTGTAAAAAAGAATCATGGACATCTTTCATAAAGCAATTCATACTTACACTACTTGCATTTATATCCATTATTAATGTAGGCTACTTAATGTGATATTTAAGACTTCTTATTTAAGAGTTCTTAGTAAAACTGATGCTGATTGTACTCACCTGTAAGTACACACAGAGTCACCGAATAAACTGTATGCCATTTTCCAGTCAATGTTTCTCTCCAACAGCTGTACTTGCCCGCATGAGATGGCTGAACATCTGGAATGATCAGTAAAGTTTTATCTGTCGATTCACTGTTTAAATGAGTGACAGCGTTTTCTCCATGTGCCTGAAATGTCCAGCCAACCTTCAGAGTGAGATTATGCAGACAACTATAACTCAGTCTGCCACCTTCAATGATAAAATGTGTCCTTGATGATGTAGAAGGTGTTTCTGCAAATAGAAAGAGAGTTATCAGTGTTTTTTGAAGCATTCATTTTTCATTTGTCCGTTTAGAACTTAGAAAAACGAGGAACAGATTTTTACTCACCATACTGAAGTAATAAGGAGATCTGTTCACCATCAGTACATCCATTTGTGTGTGTGCAGACTTGACAAGCATATATCCCTTCATCCAGTTCAGTGAAAGGACTGATTTCTAAATCAAAATTCTTCAGAATCTTTTTCCTGGACAACATTGTCTTGTTCTTTAAAATCAGGCCTTTACTTTCATGAACAATAATCTGAAAGTTCTTGTTTTTTCCTCTATACAACCACCTAGCAGTGGTGTGATCACCATAACCGTCACATGGTATGTTAACTGTGCTTCCTGCTGGCACAAACTGGACAGAGGCTATGCGACAATTCAGAAACAGAGCAGAGAATAAGAAAAAAATACATTTTCTTGAAGAAAATGGTAGGACAAAAAGTATTTTTCTGTCTAAAAATGTATGCTTCACTTTAAAATAAAAAGAAAAAAAGAAGAAAGAGATAAAACATTTCAACAATTTAAAAAACAGTATCTTTTACATTTTAAAGAAATTGAGTTGGTTAGGTCTCACTTTATTTGGATAGTCTGCTATAGTCCCCTATAGATTATCTACAGATGTTCAAACTATTAACAAACTATCTGTTGAAACTCAGTTGAATCTAAACAGTGGTGGGGTTAGGGTTAGGATTAGAGCCAGGGTTAGGGCTGGGACCAGGTGAGGATTGGGTTTAGGTTTTAGGTTGAGGTAAAGGTTGGCTTAGGATCAGAGCCAGATTTAGAGTTAAAGAAAGTTATGGTTAATTTAGTAGATATTTAGTTGACTGTAACTTGAAACTAAATTAAGTATCTACAAAGCCTCTAAAGTGGACTGTCCAAATAAAGTGTTACTGGTGGTTATTTTATAATATTATTAATAATTTCACAGAAAGGGCAATTTTCAGCTTGCCAAATTCAATACGAATGTAGTATTGATTGAAGTATTTGATTGTTTTAGCCTTTAAAAGTCACAGTACGTCTATCATCAAAATATACAGCATCAGTTAATGGGTACGTGCATATTAGTCAGTCTGCCTTAACACAAACTTCTACATTCAAAAGCAATTATTGCAGACCTTCCAATCATATGTACATCTCGGTTATCTATATCTGTGATCTATTCTTGTAATTAGAACTGCCTAGTTTTACATTTTTTGCTTTGTTATAAGTGGATAAGCTGACATAGGCAAATATTTTAAAGTTGTTAACCCATAGTTTTGTTAGTAGAATGAAATAGTGTACGATGTAATGATGTAAGAAATATCTAAAAGTAAAAGGTAATATCGTATTCATTATCTTTAGTTTTGTTTTATGTTAATGCGCATTACTAAGTTATCAGTCTGTTTATAACAGCAATAACATCAATAAAACAGAAGTCATTTAAAGAGGGTCTTTGGTTTTTAAAAGCAAACTTTATAAATGCTTACTGCAGTGAGCTTAGCAAATTCTATATAATCTATATTACCTGATCTACTTAAGATCCCTATCAACAGGAATCATTGTCTTTGTTTATTAAAAGATTATAGCTCCGTCACCTTCACGTTAGCTCAAAACATTTCACTTTTGCTGGCCAAAAAAGGCTATTGTACAAAATGATTTAATTCAAATATACAAATGTTGCAACAATGGCTATTAATCTGTTCTAATTTTTTCCCTTCTATCTATCTACCCATAAATCACAATAAATAAATGAATTGTACTTACCATGTACGGAGTTAAGTGAATATGTTTTAATAGTAGGCAGGAGTAAGATAATGCAGAGGACTCTCCTCATGTTGAAAGCAGTCTGCTTCATATACAAACACACCTGACATCAAAGACAAAGCAAAGAAATAGACAAAGCAGGCAAACAAAAATAATCTGAATTAGAACTATTAGAATGTGTTAGTTTAGGGTTTAGAATACAAAATAAACAGACTACTTTCTAACAGGCTAAACATGGTTAATTAAATCACATTTATGCCGACGTAAAAAGACAGTTGGTCTTACTTTTTGCAGTGAATGTAAGTGCAGCTCTGAACACTTTTTGAGGTGCGTTACTCAAAGGTCAGTTCAGTGTAGACAATGCAGACTTCTACTTCAAACGCCCATGTGTGACTAATGTTTGTTGGTGTAGCACCAGGCATAACAACCACAGAGTGAGACGCGGCTCGCGTGCACGGTTACAGCTCACGTTTGGTGTGACTTACTAACCACCTACAAGTTATACAAAAAAAGTGATGCAAAGACAGTTATAAATGTCCCCTTATAAGGACTTCAGCTTTTGAGTCTCCATAAAGCATCAATAACACTGTCAAAATACACTGAATATTTGCTTAGGGCTGCTGCTGAAATTGGCTAGTGAGATCGTCAATATATGAGCTGTTGAGGCCAGGACACCTGAACACTTTTGGAAACACGCAAAATCACTTATCTACTTTTCTATCACTACCTACTTTCATTTTTTAAGTGAGAAAACTATTATTATTATATTTTGCAGCTCTTTAAGCAACTACATTAAATGATATGAAAAGCAGGCTAGTAAAGTTAAATATATTTTTGACTGAGCAGCCAAAGTCAAAATAAAATTTGAAAGATCTTTAAAATTAAAAAATTGTTTTATTTTACAGTGTAGACGTAAAACATGAAAGAGAAACAAATACGAATAAAAAGCTACAAACTACAACATTTAAACACTTAACTAAACGGCATTGAAAGTAATTTATGTCATTTTATATTTAGTGAAATGTCTTATATGGGTCTGGAATAGATCACATCACATTTTTATGCTTCTAAACTGTGCAACACCAGTTGGAGTGCTATATCTTTTTGATGCTATCCTCTCTGTTTACTTTAATTAACACTTCAGATTTTCATTTTATTTTATTATTTTACTTTGTGATTATCATAATAGAATTTCATCACTTGTTTGTATAGGAACTTCATGAAAGGTGCTCTGTAAAATATTATTATTAATATTATGTAAATATTGTTACTATTATTGTTATTATTATTTTTACATCTTCTTAAATAAATATCTACAGATTAACATGCAGATAGTTTTTTTTTATTCATAGATTTATTATTTCAATTTGTTGAATCTTTTGTCAGAACTGATGCTGCCCTCATTGCAGTGCAGAGAGTATGGAACACAAACTCATGGTATTAGAAATAAGGTGTTATTATTTTAGAGCATGAGATCTGTAAAATATTTCAGTAAGGGGGGATTATATCACTCAGCATTCAGACACATTACTGAGGTGTTTTATTGTTGTGCTGAATTCCTCTAAACTTTTAACACTTAAGCCAATATGATTGAGCAATAAATATAAAATCATTCCTTTGCATATGTTCTATGCTTCTGAAGGCCAAAGTGTACTGAAAATAATGCTTTGGCCCTTCCAGTAGTTAGGCCACTTATTATATGTACAGTACTTTTACATTTATTCATTTGGCACATGCTTTTATCCAAAGTGGCTTGTGAATGAGTGTACAGTTTTGACAAGAGGCAGTGGCAAATTTAAGTGTCAACAAGGGCACACATTTAGTCACACTTTTATTTAGAATAATAATAATAGTATAATAATAATAAGAAGAAGAAGAAGAATACAAAATGTAACAATAGTAAAACTTACAGTGTTCAGTACAGTACAGTAAACTAATACATCATCCACATGCCCTTCACAAATGACTATTCTCAAATTCGCTGAATGCATAGAAACAGTGTAGGCGTCTGCAGTCACTATTAACATCGGCTTACCTTTGAGACAAAGATCTATCAGTAGACCCACATATTACTCAGTGTGAATCACAAAAAAGGCTTACATTTGATATTCCCGTGTACCCTCAAGGTCCATGTTTTCTTTATGAACTTCTTGTTTGGTTGTAAGAGCTGAAGAATGAATGCTCTAGGAGCAGTGACTACATACAGCCCACTTAAACCTTTTTTTTCTATCAAAAGCCACATCAGTTTCCACTGAGGGTGAAACGGAGAGATAGGAGGGTGGTAACAAAAATTATTTGAGCCTGCTGTACATCATAAACAGTAAAACTGGCAGGCTAATTACATCCTACGAACCAATATGCTGCTGACAGTTCCTGGCAATATAAAGGGTTAACTATGCTATGATGTTTTTTTTCATCTCTTGACCCATTTAGAGTGAAATGAAAGCATGAGTGCCTTTGCATTTAAGCAGCTGAAAACCAAATAACAGTTCTCAAGTTTTACCTACTGTGAGTCATCTCACACGTGACATTGACAAAGGCTGTGGGATTTTCTCAGATGGGACGTGAAATGAGACTACAGTTTTCACGTCTTAATGGAGCCTTCTGAACACTTCAAAGAACCTGAAAATAAAATGAACTGAATGAACAGAAAATGAACAGAAAATAAAATGGCAATGATTTGGTCCAGTGCAATTTCTGCTGATTCTGTGTTCAGTGTACTTTCATTTGATTATTCAAAGTGACCTAGAGCAGGCCTTTAAAAGATTTTCAAAATAAAATATCAAAATGAGAAATATGAGCATACTGTGTACATGATCACAGAGTAGCAAAAAGGCAGGTGATAGTTAGAAAAACTCCTCCAAACCAAAAATGCTGCTCATGCTGTCCATATTCATATAATTCATATAATTATAATTATAATAATTATAATAAACATTCATATATTTTTTACATGATTTTCAGTTTATCATCATTATTTATCCTTTTGGTCCTTAAAGATATGTCACTGCAAAATTGTTTGCATACCATTTGTTACACAAGACTGTTTTTATTGATTGTTATGATGGATAACATTTTAAAGGGCCCATATCCTAGACTTATCTTGCTTTGTATTTTTGTTTCTGAGGTCAACTGCTAACATTTGTGTAGGTTTATGTACCAAAAAATAGTCATAATTCTTTTTTACATGACCTCTCCTTCAACCTCTCCTTATTCTAGGTATGTGTTCAGACTTTTTCTTTATTATTCCGACTCTGTCCTGTAGTGTGCTTCATTTGAAAAAGCGACACTCCTTATAACCTCAAAATTAGTGGGTGGGGCTACAGGACTACAGACTGAAGAGGTGGATATACTGAATGTAAATGTGTTGGCTTTCGTGACATGACAAAAACAATGAATTCAAAACAGTCTGGTCATGCCATCATATGGGCCTTTTATGTGCAACACATACAAAAATCCAGATAATTCCATGAGGATCAAACCTTTTCTTTGTCACAACCTTAGTTTCTTTTCAGAAGCAACTGAGGCATTAGTCCTTCTGAAGGCACAAAAGGTGAGCTGGTGCATACAAAACAGAAGCATTCTCAAAGAAAACTGAGAAGCCAGCTTTTTAGCACACTCTTTAGATAACTGTGCACATTGTAAGCTCTCTCAGATCCATCTGCTGTTACTTGAGTGGGCTAAAAAGCTCCAGTGCCAGCTCACCTTTTGTCCCCTTAAACTTTCCCACATACAATTTCATGTACTATTTAGGAACATACAGATATTTGCTTAGTCATTAAGCTTCAGCAGAGGTTTGCTCTTTCTCAGTTTCTCTCTCTCTCTCCGTTTTGTCTCCCTCCCATTCCCTCCCTTTCACAGTTCTTCTCCTCTCTCTCTCTCTCTCTCTCCTCTCTCTCTCTCGTGTCCCTCCTGTTCCCTCCCATTCAGTTCTTCTTCTCTCTCCTGTTCTCTCCCATTCACAGTCCTTCTCTCTCTCTCTCTCTCTCTCTCTCTCTCTCTCTCTCTCTCTCTCTCTCTCTCTCTCTCTCTCTCGTTCTCTGTTTTGTCCCTCTCCTATTCCCTCCCATTCACAGTTCTTGGCAACCACTCGACGCTGAAACAGCGAGTCATGGAGGTTTTCGATTATTTGGAGGATGTAACGAAAAGATACCTCGAGCCATTTCGCTTCTATCACGTTTTTGGGTTCGTATGTATAATCTACATTGCGATCACACTGACAAGAGTGGCTCTAAAAAGAAAGAGGTTGATGCGTGAATTCGAGCAGTTTCCAGGACCACCCGCACACTGGCTGTTTGGAAACGTCAACGACGTAAGTTTCAGAGCACTTGGCCTGATTTTCGCTACTCGTAAAATAGAAGCGCATGGACCTGCAGAGCGTGCAGAGTTTATATCTAGACAGCTGTTAAATTATGTCAACAATCAAAGTTCAGATAAACTGTAATAATATTAGACAAGGTGAATATAGGGATACAAAAGTCCAAATTGTGCTCTACACCCTTAAATGATGAAGGTTCCTAAATGGTTGTTGGCTTGGATACACGGTTCTTTGGGGAAACCTTTAACTGGTCACAGAACTTAGAAAAGAACTGCAGAAAAGCTTATTGGCAGGTTCTGTAAGGAACCAGCATTTGCATCGCTCCAAAAACCCTTCTAGTACCTTTATTATTAAGCATAGTTATGTCAATGTCAGAAGCAACTTAGAGCACTGTTCTCTTGCATGTTAGTGCAGAAAACATGTGCAGAGAGCACGACAAAGCGATTGCATATCTGACCCTAAATCTATCTGGGTTTATTAAGTTTAGCTAGCATTTAAATGGGTAGGCTGCAATAGAAGCATATTGTAGAGTGATAGATTGGACACATGACTTTGGCATTGTTGAAATAGCATGGTGCAGCCTTAAGAATGCACTAGGGTTGTATGGAGCCACTGGTTCACACACCACGATATCAAAAACATTTGTGCCATATTGTTTTGTGTTACAGTTTCTGCAGGATGGAACTGATTTGGAGAGGATAACCACGTGGGGAGAAAAGTATCCCTATGCCTTCCCCTTGTGGTTTGGCCCTACCCTTACAATTTTAAATATCCACCATCCAGCTTATGTGAAGACCATTCTGGCATCAACAGGTGCAAATCTGTTTGACTGTCTGTCAGATGGTTGCTTTAATTTAGATTTTTTGCTATTTGATGAATTTATTGTTTATGCAGATCCTGTGTTTTGCTTTATTATTTCACAGAACCGAAGGATGACTTTGGATATAGATTTCTCACACCGTGGATAGGTAACCTGAAATAATAAGTGAAAGAGACTGAAGATATATCCTCACAAAGATGACATCTCAAGTTGTTTTCTTGTAAATCATGAGTATTCTCTCCTAGTCCTGGAGAGCTAATGTCCAGCACAGTTCGGTGATTTTCCTGCTCAAACATTCCTGGTTCAACTTACCTGTAAAATGCCAGGCTGAGCACCAAACTGTG